ATGCGGCTGAGAAACATCTCATCCAAAGCCTGGCTCATCCAGCTCCCAAGGCTCGTGACTCCATTGGCTTCTCTGTGGGTTTCCCAGAAAGCCCACATGGGTAATAATGATTATTAATAGGCTGAAGCTGTTGATTCACACCCAGGGAGACAAGCTGGAGCATGGCCAGGAGCTTCTCAGTCACTAAGGAGCCTTAACACTGCCACAGATGGCAGTGATGGGCCGCTGAGGTGACTAAGCAGTCCCCAGGCTGGGTACATGCATTTTACAGAGTGGTGACAAGTCACTAGGTGATAACATTGAAGTGTTACACCACAGCCACTGCACAGCAGGGCTCCTCACACCTCTGCCAAAAGCATCTGATGTCACTGCATATAGGTAAGACCTGATCCAACACACGCTCGTCCTTCCATCACTTGACAGTGCAGAGCTATCCATGGATGAGACATGGGCAGAGAGAGGAGGAAATATCCTTCTTTTGCCTTGTGCCAAGGTCCTCCTGCAAATGGTCCTCTGTTTGCCATTTCACCCATCAGGATCCCTGAGGTGGTTGAGCAGGTCCACAACGATGATGCTCTGATTTCTGCACAATTTGCTCATTGGCGCCAGAGCTCCAGAGGCTGTAGCTCATGAGCAGCCTTTGCAGTGCAGAGCTGTTACTGATGAACCATTGAATGAGAACAGTGTGGGACCAAGGCACAAGTATGGGGCTGGAGGAAGGAAGAGGCTGGAACATAGCCACAGTATGGGCTTATCCCTGTGTGGCTATGTATGAAGTACAGCAGAGCCATGGACCACAGCAGAGCTGCAGACATTCATCTCTGCTAAGAAGTACAAGGGGCTCTCACCAAACTTGAGTTTTGCTGGCCAGAGGAGCGCTGCAGCAACAAAGGAGCTGCAAGAGCAGATGGTGAGAAAGAAGTGGTTGGTATCCTGTTATGGTGAACCTAAAACAACTGCCACTGATGGTGTAGGGCAAGACAGAGATTTGTACACACTACCAAGACTTCTATATGCTCTTCCAATGACGCTGGCAAGAGAACAGTGAGATGTCCACCAGGCAAGAAGGGCTCAGAGGTCTCACAATGCCTGCAGGGCTGCAGACTGCAAAGCCCTTGCCTTTGATCCTGAAGGAAGCATGTATCCTACATATTTATCCCATTCCTGTGTGCATACACAGATGCCTTGTACATCAAGCAGGAGGGAGGACACACATTTATGGTTGGTTTAGAGTCAATTTGAAGCTCACAAGACAAGAGAGAAACTGGTAGTTGCACCTGTAGTCCTGATACTACTCCATCCAACCTGCTAGAGCAGTAAGTCCCTCTGCTCTGTGCCTGGGACTCTGGTGCCAACACTGCCATGCAGACCAACTGCATGGCAGTTCAGAGAAGACTGGCATCCCTTGGCAACCATTCTGTCCAACTTTATGACAGAGGTGACCCAGCCTGGGGAAGCCAGGTTGCCTGAGGTAGGAGGAGAGTGTGTTCAACCACTGGGCTGCAGAGCACCCTTCAATTTGTCTGTTAGGGGTTTTTAGCTGGCCACCCCCTCCAGAATGGCTAAGGTTATATGCCCCCATGCAGGGCTAGCTACAGGCCTGGTGCCATGGCAGAGCCCGGCATGGCACTGCAAAGGGGGCATGAGGCTTGGGAGCAGACAAAGGGCTGCCACAGGAGCATCCCGGCAGCCCAGTACCCAGGGCCTTCCCTTCTGCACTGTGCTGTGGTGAGCTGCTGTAGTGCCGTGCAAACAGTACCCGAGCTTGGCCCTGCACATCGTGTCAGAAAGTGAAATCACTGCCATTCTACAGTCTGCTGTGAGTGAGGGTGACCTTCATGACATTGAAACAAAAATTACAGAGACGAGAGAGAAAGGGAAAGAAAAAGCAAAAGGTGTCAAAAGATAAATACAGGAGTTAAAACTAACTTGAGACATTCGGGCAACTGGGGACACTGGCACCTGCAAAGAAAAGAAATTGGGCAAGAACAGAAATCCCATTAGCCTTTAATTATCATTGCAGAGGTTCAGAAATGGAAAGACCAAGAGATGAAGATGCAAAGGAAAGCACCATCTGCCACGGTGCCAGGAGCCTCTCTCCTTCACAGGACTGACTGGCCTGGCCCTGGGGCTGCTCTGCAGCTGGCCATTACACACCAGGCTTTTGATTCTGGTCAGAGCCATCCTCTACATCCTCTGATACTGACAAACACATGGAGCTGGAGGTACTTGCAGGGGAGTGAGCACATAGGTCTTTATCTAACACCAAGAGCTACTTCATACCACTGTCTACAGCCCCATGCCCAAGGGGAGACAACAAGGGCAGGTGGACGGCAAGTACAGGGGACATCTGTGCTGCTTGGTGGCCAGGGGGACTGCACTCAGGCCCAGCAATCTCCACTCAGTGCCCCTGAGCCTCCAGCTCACTTGCAGCTCATGAGCAGTGCAACTCAGGCTCATTTCATGGTGTACTGGGACACTGCCTGGTCCCATATCCTCTCAGCAACTTGGCACAGTGGTATGTTAGTACAGGGAGGCCAGCAGCGGGGGAAATAACCCTTGTCTGAAGTAAAAACCACAAAAATGAGAAACCTTAATATTTAATAACAGTAGCCCCATTAATTATGCATTAAACAAGTTTTCCCTGCTTAGCACACTCCAGCAGGGAGACCAACTACTGAAGCGTGCAGGGCCAGTGGCCAGCACCTCTTGTCAATGCATCCACACAGCACTGCCTCGACCTCGGGCAAGTGACAGGGGCAACAGCATGGGTCCAGTGGGCTTCATGGTTTTCATGCCTCCTCATTAATGAGAACAAGCTCGTCAGGAGCTGGAACAGTCACTTCTAGCTGTGTGACACCTGCTTCCACCCCGCAGAGCCTCACAAGTGATGCAGGGGGAGGAGGACAGTGTTGTCACTTGGTGGGGGAGCGCTGGCTAGCAGCACCCCAGGGCACTGCTGCTGTCTCAAGTGAACTGGGCACTTTGGGTTCTTTTTGTGTCTCCAGAGAGCTCTCCAAATTTACTAAATAAACCAGTGTCTTTGGCTTATCCTTAGGCAGGAAACAGAATTTCCTGGGCTCCTCTCCTCTTTTGAAGGCAGCTCTTGACCCTTCCTACAGCTCTAGCAAGTGACGCCCTTGTTGCAAACTTCCCAATCTCACTGGCAGTAGGTGCAAGCCTGACCTGTCATGCTTCTCTGTTCAGTGTAAACCACAAGCATACAGCAAAGCTGGCTCTTGTGTCCCTGGACAGTGGGGACATGTCACAGAGGCCTGTCCCCACGCACAAGTGTCCTGGAACAGTCCTGATCAAGACCTTGCTCCTTCTCAAGAAGCTGCATGCTCTGTGTATGACCTTCTTCCCTGCTACTGCTCCCAGTGATCTGCCTGTTGAGATGTTCTTCCTCTAGCGCAGAGGCCCTCTGTGCTCCCCACAGCATTTTCCTCCCATGCTGGTCTGTGTTGTGGCCAATTAACTGTCAGGCTGTCACTGCACACTACCCATGAGATCTGCCATCAGTCCTGCCTGGGAGATGTTGTTAACTACGGATCTCTGACAGCTGCTCTGGCACAGAGGGAGATGAGCTGGTGAGGCCCACCCCAGGTCTGAGCCAGACCATTGTCAGTGGCAACAAGAAAGGTTCCTCCTACCCTTCCTCCCAAACATGTCATGTTTACACCAGGAAATGGTCCCTTCAAAACTCTCCTGTCAGATGAAAGCTCTTGGATGAATGAGCAGCAGGAGGAAATGGAAAGTAGGTTACAGACCAGGAGGAGCTACAAGTAAGAAGAGAGCTGTGTGTGCCTCATTTATTCCTGAACTGCTCCCTCCATCACAAAAGCCCAAGCACTCCCCCATCTCATCTAGGACTTGGACTCTCTGAAAGGCTTTGAACGAGCCAGGGCTAGTCTGTCTCTGATCACTACAATGACAGGTACTGTGCTTTTGGTGCCATCAGAGACATTCAGACACAAAGAAGCAGCAGCACGAGACCCTTCTGCAGTGCAAAGTACAGTTGTCTCTGCAGGCTGGCAAACTACCTACACCCCCAGGCACCACAGGCCAGTGCAGGCATGATGAGATGCTCTGCAGCAAACATTTGCATGCAGAAAGCAACAGCTTTCACTGAAATATCATCCTCTGAGCTGTAACCACCTTGACCAGCAGCATCCCTTCACCGGGCCACAGCACTGGCTGCGGAGCAATGCAGGCTGCAGGTAGCTCTTCACCCTTAGCTCAGCAGAGCAGGAGTCAGCACACCAAAGATGCTAGGATGAAACTGCTGGGATGCCCCCAGCAGTACAAAGGCTCTCTGTAAACTCCTGATCCCCTCCCCCGACTCAGTCTCCATGGCCATCAATGAATAAGTGGTGCTCAGCACTGAATCCCAGCACAGCACCTGGGAGCAACAGAGGTGTGGGCTTTGGTGAGTTCTCCCAACTTTGAGTGGGGGCTCCTCCTGGCTCAGGACAACCACACTGAGCTTCATGTAATGTGACACACATCATGCAATAGGCTGTCCCTATCCAGGTTCCCTAGCCTTTCATGCCAGCAGTGACAAGGCCAGGGAAAATGATTTGGAAACCAGAGAGAGAACACTGGGATATCCTTGGTCTAAGCTCCCTCTGTGTCAATGTGACTGAGAAGATGCAGCTGCTGTGGGAGTAAGACTGCAACTCCTTGTCTGGCATGGGGAACTGGCAGAGGTGGGTACAAGGCGTTTAGCTGCTCCTTACCTGGAGTCTGGTAGTTGAGCCGCCTCATCTCAACCGGATCAGAGGAGTGGGCTAAGAGCGAGTCCTTCAGGCCAATGGAGTGCTCGTCCTTGGAAGAGGGGGAATGTGCTCTTTTTCTATGGACAGAGAGGACAGAGACAAGCAGGTTAGCTCTGGAAGAGACCTGCATGAACCACCTGGGAAGGAGACTGGGTCCCTGTATCCCAGATACCCAGCTCCATCCCAGGCTCCCATTGGCTCTTGGCAAATCACATCTTCTGTGCCTCCAGTTTTCCATATATGAAAAAGGAAGGATTATATGTAAGCAATGGCAGAAGTTTGATTAGTGAGGCACTTTGAAATGTCATATTCTGCAGAATATTTGTTAGAGAAAGAGAAGATAGATGCAAGATGTTGTTTCCTCTTACTCTCTCAAGGAACTATTTCCTGTAGTGGAAGGATATAATAATTTTTTTCCCCAAGTATTAGAAATATTTAAATATAGAATGCTGTAATATAATAGCGTAAAGGCTCTTCAGGGTATGTTTTATTGGGCCATTAATACATGTCTTGAATGGTTGAAGGCACCCAAGGCGTGTATTAATGGAACAATAAAATACACTGTTGTCTCTTCATGCTGTATTTATGCCTAGAGCAATGCCACCACCTCAGGCTCTTGCTGGAATTCACAGTCAAAGCAGGGACAGATCCAATCAAAAAGTGGACAAGTGAATATTAAAGAAAATCTAATACTGCAAGAAGAGTTTCTAGTGATTCTTTAAGTCCACTTCTTGGTCTGTATTACAAATACAGTGGATATACCCATGCAGCAGAGAGGGGTGTTGGGCAGGAGCAGGACAACAGTACTCTCTTCTGAGTCTGTGCTGACCCTGGCACTTTGCCAACATGCTGAGCATGCAGCAATACACAGAGACTTTGTCTTCTGGCTACAGCCCCAAAATGGATTTTGCCTGATGGTGAACCCCTCTGCTGACCTGCTGTTTTCTGGAAGAGAGGGAGCTGCATCACTGCTAGTCTGCATGAATGCTAGCACATTTACCATCCTGCAGATCACTACAGTCAGTTTCTGCTTCCTAACCCCTTGTGAGGCATTTCAAAGCGCCCTGAAGGGCTGCCAGGTTCTGCACGGAGGCAGATGCATCTCCAGATGGTGGTGACCCTGAGCCATGCATGGTCAGAAATGCTCCATCTGCATACTGCGGCTGTATCATGTACTAGAGTTGTTCAACAGGGAGGACCATTTTGTAAGCCTTACACTGCTCTAAGTCATCTCAACATCTCTGAAGCCTTCTAGCTGCCTGGACTGAGACAAAAGAGCTAAGACTGTGAGCACCAATAGAAAGAAAGGAAAATTCATGGCAAACAAATAAAGCGCTGTTTCTCCTATCAGGAACACAGCAGGATGTGCCATGTGCTACTGTGTGCCAGTCCCTGAGCCCTTGAGCGAAATGGTCCAGCTTTTCTGGGGAATGGGCATAGCACATAATTCATGTTTGTGTCTTTCATTAGTTGGCTGGTCAGGGCAACTGCTAAAACAAACCTCCAGATCCCAAGCTATCCGTTGCTGCTCAGCTACAGCTCATTCCCACTGCAGAGCTGACACTGTATATGCTGCACAGGTAAAATGCCTCCAAAGACAAGAAAATGGGAGAAAATGCCTCCAAAGACAAGCTGGACAGCAAAAACCTGTAGGGCAACATAGCATCACTCCGAGCATCTGGGTGGTGCTGGAAGGGGATATGCTGCTGCTGCATGAGCTAGGAGGCTGCAGGGGCATGAATGCCAGGTCTGAGCACAGTGGATTGGTACTGCTTCCTATTGCTCCATCCACACCAGACTCTGGGACAAAGCAAAGCTAAGCCTCGCTGTCTAAGGGGCCCAGGTACAGAAATCCTCCCCCAGGGCCATCTTACCTCCTTAAAGATCAGCAAACACTTCACTTCTTACAATGGCTTGGTATTCCCTCGAAGCTTCCTCACTACAGACTGCAAGAATGCACCTGCATTCTTGACAGAACAGCTCTCAGTCTGAAGTGACTGAGAAAACAAAGAAACTCTTATAACTGCTTGTGTTGTTGTTTTTTTTTGATATTTAATTTAATTGCAAAAACGATCTGGGAAGTATTTATGTTGGAACCATCTCCCTAAGAGCTGTGAGAGGTTGGCAATTGCTAGGAGGATACCTTTGAGGAAACAAAGTCTTTGTAAACCCCCAGGGCTGGCATGCTCCATGCTCCCAAAAACAAAGATGCCCCTTAGTAGCTTCAGGCTTATTTTTCAAAAAAGAAATAGACTTAAAATTTTAGCAAAACAAGAAGATAAAAAGGATTCATACCTTTCTTGCTTACTAGGTCCAGGGAAGAGCAGAAACAGAAGAAAGGAGATGATCACTCACACAGAAAAGCACTGGCTGCACATTCACAGCAGAGCTCCATTTAATCAGACAACAAAGCCAGCCCTCCTCCCCGAGCTACAGATACATATGTAAATAGAGAGTCCAGGAGGAGCAGAACCTCGGAGCTGAGCTGATAGAGGTTGACCTACTGTAATTGAACAGGATACCCAAACACGTGCAAACGCAACCTGTGGCTCCTTGGGAGGACTAACAATCATCTCACACTATAGTTACAGCTCTAGCAGGACTGCTCTGCTATGCAAAAGCACGTGGTTGCTTCAGCTGGGAGCACACAACGTGGATGGTGCTGATCTGGTAGCCAGGACTGAGAGGCCTCAAAAAGAGCTCCTACTCTGGTTTCAGCCTGTCACATCCATGCTCTGTTCTCACTGCCAAGGCCATGTTCCTCAGTCAACATTCACAGTAGTGGGGGCATCTACCAGACATCAAGCAGGCAATTTCCACAGAAAACCAGTACTAGAGAAGTCCCCAAGGTGGCAAATCCAAGCTGTGAGACTAGAGAGTGGTCAGCAGACTGGCTATATGGACACAGCTGCTCTCTTCTCTCCCACAGCTCACACGTTTCCAGAATCCACAGCAGCTCAGTGTCCTGGGGCTGATATTAATTACTTTCTGCATGTCCAGCCCTTCTGCTCTTTTTATAAGGCAGCATTCTGCTGTGCCAGATAGAGACCTTCCTCCTCCCCCTGACCACCAAGGACTGTCTATCAGAGCACCACATATCTGAAGGAAGGAGGGTTTTGAAGGTGGCATCACCTGTAGTGCTCATGTTGAAACTGCTATGTCCTGGACTGGATCTCACCTTTTGAAGAGGAGTATAGCAATGACAATGATGATGATTAATATCACAGCCAGGACAGGTCCCATCACCCACAGCATTTCTGGTTCATCCTGCTGCTTTGCTGAAGCCACTTCCATCACAATCTCATCTGAGTAGGGGCTGGCTGCGTATCTCTTCTGAACAGCACCGGCAGGAGAGGGAGAGAAAAGCAAGCATCCGTTATGCTAAAGCAATAGCTATTCCCCTGAAACAGAGGTTTCCCCTTGCCTCTGGCCAGCAGAGAACGGTCACGCTTCTCAAACCCCAGCAGCACACCCCTGGATCCTCCCTCCCTCGGCATCAGGAAGAGGTCACGCTGTTGAAAGAGTCTCTTCCTGGTGTAAAACACTCCCAGTGCCAGTAACTTCCTGGCTGGCAGACCTGGCCTCAAGGTGCCAAACTGGAGCAGCCCAGCTAAGAGTCACTTGCCAGCCTTGGATTCTCTTGGAGCCAAATCACAGGCTTTTGAATCCCAACCAATTGCACAGTGGGGCTGGCTGATGATTCCTAAGTGGTTTATAATACCTGCTGTGCTGGCATCAACACAACTCTCCAGGACAGGGCTATATTAGGAAAATCCCTGCTGGGCTGTGTGGTTTTCTTAAAGGAACAAAATGACAGGAACATTTTCTACCTGATGTCTCAGTCCTGATAAACAGACCTTGGAAAGGAGCTCATGCTTACAGGTTCCTTTCCAGAGACTTCTGCAATCCAAAGGGACAGCTTTCTAGCCCCACCAGCAAGATGGGACTAACAGAGACCCAAACCCTTCCTTGCAGAAAAATAACTGCACCTGGCTTGTTCCGCTGCTGTTGCTAAGGATTATGGAGCTGTGCTGTCCCTTCGCATCTCAGCCTGGCTGGGCCAGAAGGGTTAAGTGCTGCAAAAAGAAATCCCTTCCCCCTGTTAGAAGGCCAGAGCTGTAGCAGTTCAGTGCTTGTGGCTTTTGAGCAGCACCTGCTGCCCAGCATTAGGGAGCTAGAAAAGCTCTGCTCCTGCCATAGAAAGTTTCAGTCACTGAAGAGGTGCCCGTGGATCTTTAAATCTGCTTAAAGGTCGAAGTTTAAACACGCTCTTCATGTCTGTGTGCATCTGAGGAGAAAAAAGGGAAAAATCAAGCGTGCTGGTGTCACATAAATGCACGTCTTGATCTCCCCTCACAGGTGCTCTTGATCCCAGCCATCCTGGTTTCAAACATGCATGGAGTACAGAAAATGCTCTTATCTGTGACATCCTTCTGGCAGCACACTCAGGTGCAGCATCCTTGCTGCTCTCCTCAGATTTATCAGTGGTCAGAGATGCCACTGGCTGGAGGGGTGGTTCCTGCTTTGTCTGTGAAACCTTTCAGCCCTCTTTCAATGATCCTGAAATAGCTGTTGGCTCCTGCTTCATCTATGTTCCTAAAGTGAATCTGCATGGGACCACTGCAACCCATCAGCCTGTTCCTACACCCCTCGTGCACTTCAAACAATGGGGCAGGATGTCAACAACAGCTCTGTCTGAGCATGGCAGAGACAAGAAGATGCTAAATTGGTGGTAAGAGGATAGGACAGAAGGCCTGGGGCTCCCCTATGTATGGGCAAGTGGCTACTCTATGAGGAAGGCACAAAGGCTTTGCCTATGACCACCCAGAAAGATCAAACTGCATTAGGTGGGGGGAAGGAGCACGCTGATCTGTGCAGCAAAGTAACACGTGTCCATCTCCAAAGCTTTGTGCAAGGGACAAAGATTCATATTTTTTAAAGACACGCTTCGGAGATGCCTCCTTCCAAGAGAAGACAGAATCAGAAAAGATCAGAAAGACAGTTATCTCAGTGGCATTTCCAAAGGCAGACTGCAAGGTGCATGTGTCCCTGCTCTCCAGAGATGGTGTTTCAACCACACTCCCCTTTGCCTTTGAAGAATGGCAACATTACGCTTGCCTGCTGACACCAGAGCAAGCTATTTAGGAGGAGGTGAGTGGGGGAGATAGCACACAGCCTTGGACAGAGTGCCTTATGTTTCACATGAAAATAGATACGACACAGTGGGGGATGCAGAAGGATGGTCTCTAGGAGCAGGGTGTAATAACTCCGCTAGCTGGTGGTTCACTGGAGGGCTGTGGCAGATCTATGCTAGGGAAATGATGATGATGACAGTCTGGGATCAACTAGTTAAGGTCATCTCTTCTTGACAGGGACTGCTAGGGTAACATATCCTAAGGCTGCTGCCTTACCTTGCTGCTAATTTGTGACTCTCCTTCTCTTACCAGCGTGCACATCTTGGCACAAGAACACGTGAGCTGGATGAGTAATGAAGAACTTGACCAGCCCTAATGAGCCATTACAAGCAAACAAGGCTGAAGAAGGAAGCCGCAGCTGGAAGCTGACCAAAGGATTTTGTGCATCTCTATTATTTTAATTATTTACACACTGGCTGCTGCTACTGATGCCACTACCACTCCTGTCCTTCATGTTTACAGCTGGACAGGTCTTGTGCTACTCCCTGTTTATTCCATTAGCTACTGCCTTCCCCCTCATATGCCCAGGCTCTGTGTGCTTGGCAGCATGCTGCTGACAAAGGCAGTGCCCATTTGCCTCTAGCAAGGAGAGACACAGGAACAAGAATTCCTATGCAGCAGGCAATTGTGCAGCTTTGCCCTGCTGACAACAGACTGTGATGGGATGCAGGTTTGCTTCTCCAGATGTCAGCTGGAAGTGAGATTCTGGCCAGAGAAGAGCCTGTGAAGGCAGGTTAGCAGGGGAAGCATCCTGTTCATTGCAGAGCCTCAGCAGCCACTGTGCCGATCAGGATTTCAAGGGGCTGTTTGCCACAGTCACTTACTTGAACAAAAGCAGAATGAGAACCTATCCCACCCCAACCATGTGTCAAGCTCTGCTCTGGGCACAGCCCACCAAGCCACAACTGAGCTTGTGCAGAGCACGTTTGTTGACACTGCCCTCCACTCTCATCTGTTATGTCAAACGTACGTGCCATTTCCCTCCAACAACACCATCTATCAAGTCAACTCCCATGGCCGCCTCAGTTTGTTGAGACCAGCTATGCAGGCTCACTCTCCTCTCTTCAGAGAAAACTCCATCATCCTGGCTTACAGTAATTGTTCACTCTGCCCGCACTGAGCCCACCCCAGCTCTGCCACGAAAGGCTGTGTCTCACCCAGCAGAAAGTCCTTACCGTGTCTCCATCCTCCAGCGAGGCTAGCACAAAGCAGCGATAGCTCAGGTCTTGAGACAGGGGCTTGTTGTAGAAACCTTTGTAGTTCTTCTCGTCCCCCAGGGTGAAGGTCTCGGGCAGCACATCCACTTGAGCAGCAATGTAGGGCTTGAGTCTGTCTGCTTGGCGTCGCTGGCGCCTGCTCTGACTCCCTTGGCTTATAGCCTCCAGCAACTGGGGACAAACGAGGTGCATCACTATCATTTTGCCCAGCATGACACTGCCTTTCACTGTTACCTCAGGACTCAGCAGGGTAGAAGGGAAGGGAGATGATACCAGGTTTGATTTGGATGTAGTGGAATGAAGAAACCAGAGACATGTATTATACACTTAGGCATTGCTGTGGCACCTGTCTGCAGACCCTCACTGCAAGGACCTCCACCAGAATCTCAGCTTCGGGAAAGTCCTGAGCCCTGGGATGCCACCACAGTGAATGTTAGGGCTGAGACAGCCTGGCTGTGCCTGTCAACCCAAGTTAATGTATCTCAATGGGCTGTGAGGGAACTGGGCCATGTTCTGTGCCCCAAATATTGGTCTGGACAGCAACTCACACTCTATGCATAGGGATGTACATCAGCTGACACTGATATATAGGGAAAAAGTGACATTTTCTGCGTCCTTCCCTTCTGTCAGTGCCTTGATATTTCACCTGCTGCTGGGTAGCAGGCAGAGCTTTGTGTAAATCACACAGAATGGTAACAGATTTCATGGGATGTTCAGAGTAAAAATGGCAAATTTCATAGTCAGCCACAAATTCAGGAAAAAGGATATAAACACACAAAAATTCAATTACACTGCTAAGAAAGACTCTCAGATGTTTAAAGATGTTTTTCTAATGAATAAAACTAAGTATCAGGCTTGGAACAGAAATTCTAATTTAAAATGAAGAAGGAGGCATGAAATACATTTCACACACAAACGTATCAGTGCAGCATTGTCAGAGTAGACAGGGAACATCAGTGGGGCTGGAGACAGTGATGTGCACACAAAGCCATGCTGCTGAGCTGAGCTCACTCTGAGGAGGAAAAGCTGG